TGGCATTCCTGTCCGAAATCTCCCAAAATTCAGATTTTTGGATTAGCCCTGGGCTCTAGTGTTATGAGAGATGGAGAAAAATTATTTTCTATCCACCTTCTCCATGCCTTAAATCATTTTGTACACCTCTGTCATGCCCTGCCCCCATCCCTTTTTTTTTAAATAAACTAATAAATCCCAAATGCTGGTACATTTATTATAATTTATAGAAGTAAACAGTAATTAATGACCATAGCAATATGTTCTCAGGCAAGCCTTTACCTGCCTACATCCTCACCCCAATCAACATACCATCACACAACCCATTACTGCAATATGATCATACTGTTTATATTAACACTCGCTCCCAACGCTAATACTCCCTTAGGACTAATTCAGGTGTATTTCTCAACTCAATCCTGCCATCTACTGAACAGCTGTGGAAATACAAGTACTCTGCTCTTATGCGGTTCCATGTAGGGATGTGTTCCATGTCTGTGCTGTGCTAGGGCTGATGGGAGTTGTAGTCCAAGACATCGGGAGGACACCAGGTTGGGAGAAGCTACCATAGGCCAATATCCCCTCATTTGATAAGAAGAACCTGAGGACAAGCTGATAGCAGCTTGCCCAAATTCATGCAGCTAATCCACAACTTTATAGGTTGAGATGAGGCCGTGAGGAGGGAACCTTTTCCCCCCTGTCAAGGGCCACCTTCCATCTGGGGTATCGTGTTGGGGCTGTATACTCAGTGATATCCAAGGCAACATGATGACCAAGTACAACAATGTGATATCAATATAAACTCTTTATATAATCTATACAGAACACTAAACAGTATGAAATACAGTGGTACCTCGGGTTAAGAACTTAATTCGTTCCGGAGGTCCGTTCTTCACCTGAAACTGTTCTTAACCTGAGGTACCACTTTAGCTAATGGGGCCTCCCGCTGCTGCCACACCACTGCTGTGCGATTTCTGTTCTCATCCTGAAGCAAAGTTCTTAACCCGAGGTACTATTTCTGGGTTTGCGGATTCTGTAACCTGAAGCGTCTGCAGTGGCGTAGCGTGGGGGTGCAGGGGGGGCCGGCCGCACCGGGCGCAACATCTGGGGTTAAGGCAAATCCACGGGTTAGGGGGCGCAAATTACTTGCCTTGCCCCGGGTGCTGACAACCCACGCTACGCCACTGAGCGTCTGTAACCTGAGGTACCACTGTATATGAAATATGCACTCTCTGCAAAACCAAATAACCAGAGATCTTATAAATCTCTGAAAGACACAAAATATGCACTCTGGATGGATTCTCTTGAAAACATAGAACCAAATAAACATAAGTCTTATAAGTCTCTGAAAAATCTTTGTAGACTATGCAAGTCTATGAAAGAAGCAATGGATCAGATTCTTATCTGGTGAAAACAAGCCGTGAAGCTTTGTTTTATGACGTCCGAAGCTGCCGAAGTGGTCTGCAAACAGACGTAGTGAACAGTGATTCCGGATATACCCACTGTTTTGTGGAATTCTTCTTCAGCACAGCAGAAGGATTAAGAAATGCTTCATAAACCCATCTATATGGTGATTGGAATTGTATAGCAACAATTGCTATGGAGCAGGGGTCATCAAGTTATGTAAAGGGGGCTGTATACTGGCAGCTGACACAGCCAGAGACAAAAGTGGATGGAAACACCCCCCCCCTTTCTGGGATAGCTCAGTCGGTAGAGCATGAGACTCTTAATCTCAGGGTCACAGGTTCGAGCCCCATGTTGGCTCAAAAATTCCTACATTGCAGGGGTTGGACTGGATGACCCTTGGGGTCCCTTTCAGCTCTATAATTCTATGATTCTCTCTCTCCCTCTTTCTCTCTCTGCAACCCCCTGCACACACTCCCTTCTCTCTCTCTTTGCCACCTTTTCTTTCTCTCTCTGCCACCCCTTATTTTTTTCTATGTCACCCCTCCCTCTGCCACTCCTTCTCTATATCTCTCTCCCTATGCCGCCCCTCTGTTTCCCCCTGCCTGCCCACTAGGCTGCTTGAAGAGGGACAGGTGTCTCCTGCCAGAGGTCTGAAGTGTCAGGTCTCAAGGGTCTAAGGCTGCCCACCCCTGGAGCAGGATATCTGAAAACCTGCCTTCTTCTGTATTGTAATGAGTTCAAGGGTGCCAGACTCCCCCCAAATTCCTTGATCTAGTAAATGTTAGAATTTAAGCAAGTCTCCTTGGGTGAAAATATAAGCCTGGCCAGTTTCCCAATGAGGTACAGTGGTACCTCGGGTTACATACGCTCCAGGTTACAAACGCTTCATGCTACAGACTCCGCTAACCCAGAAATAGTGCTTCAGGTTAAGAACTTTGCTTCAGGATGAGAACAGAAATCAGGCTCCGGCGGCACGGCAGCAGCAGGAGGCCCCCATTAGCTAAAGTGGTGCTTCGGGTTAAGAACAGTTTCAGGTTAAGAACGGACCTCCAGAACGAATTAAGTACTTAACCCGACGTACCACTGTAATCGCCTGGGAGATGAGCCATTAGAAAAACAAAAGGAAATGTAACGGTCCATTAAGAAAGGATAGGGAGCTCCCTGCCAGGTGCCAAAATGAATGGGGTCCCTCCTCCAGCTTAGCATTACTTAGAAGAACAAAAGCAAGGCTTTAGAGTTTAGAGTTGGCTGGAATATGACCTGAAGGGAAAAGGTTGCAGTCTGGTAAATGCGGCAAGCTGGAGAGAGGGTCAGAGCACAATGGCTGAGATCTGGTTTTGGATCCAGGCTGTGCCTATGGGAGAAGCAAGATCCTCTGGAAGTGTTAGTGCAGTGAGCCCCTCCATCTCAGGCTCAGGTTGCATATATGTGTAAATAAACCATGTATCATAAAGACACCACAATCTCCACTGTCCCTCATTTCCAAAAGGAAACACAGACCCTGGGTAAGCGCACCTGGAACCCCTGGGATCTCGCACGACTCGGAGAATGGGTTGGCATGCAACAATATGAACTAGCCTGCCTACTGAGAGCATTGTAAGAGGGCCCTTCTCCTGTGTGGCAGAATGCTCCCTGAAGTCTTCTTGCTCAGGGCCAGGGGGTTCGACTACATGGCCCTTGGGATCCCTTCCAACTCTGCAGTTCTATGACCAGGAAGAGGTCCTCTTCAATGGCTGCACCCAGGCTCTGGGACTCTCCCAAGGGAAGCTCACCTCACCCCCTCCCTAATGGCATCCATATCAGGGATGAGCCCTGCAGGTGTTCTTGGACTCCAATTCCCATCTCCCCCACCAGCCATTTTGAATCAAGATGGCAGAGAGAACTTTTCAAAGCTGCACTGATTTTAACCAAATTTTCCATGAGATCAAGGAGCAGGTTTTTGTCCTTGTTTGGATACGAATGGATGCCATTTCGAATCAAGATGGCAGGCTGAACTTTCAAAACTGCTCTGATTTTAGCCGCTGGTTTAAAAACTGCACTGATTTCTTTGGGTTTTTGTGTGTGTGTTTTTAGATTTCCTGGGCAATGAAAGGTATGAGGCTGCTACTAAATAACTGTAGCTTGACAAAAAATCTCCCCACCAAGTCTCAGGAAGACACCGCGTTGGATCCACGTAAGAATCTATTTGCAAGTTTCCCATCTTATACCCAAGTGGTCTCCGTGTGCTTTTTCTGTGGGGGACAATGGAGAGAACCCACCTCAAAAACTGGATAATATGAAGCCCTGAATCGATAAAGGGAGCAAATATAACCTGGATTATATGAGTGAAGTAGGCACATGACTTCCCTCAAATAATAATGGGAACTGTAGTTTACCTCTCACAGAACTACAATTCCCAGCACCCTTCACATACTACAGTTCTCACTTGTGAGGAGGTCGATTTAAACTCATTGTCCTTGAAACTCATTGTGCCTTGAGGAGGCAAAAGAGTGTTTTAGGGCAACACAGCTGGAATAGAGAAACATCTAGGTCACAGATGGACTCCAGCCCTCAACAACCTGACCATTGGCTATGGCTGGGGCTGAGGGGGGTTGGAGTCAGGGAGCACCTGGAGGCTCCCCAGCTTTCCCATCCCTGTTTTCTAGTTCTGACATCACTTGGATCTGGTCCACACATATTATATATACATCAACCGATGCCTCCAGGGACTTGGTAAGTGCCAGGAAGCTGAGATTGCAATCCTATGACCTCCTTGCTTAGGAATAAGGTCCATTAGCTTCAGAAGGGCTGACTGCCAACTCCTGCAGAGGCTGGTGCTCATTGGGCAGAAGGCAGGGAGGCTAACAGTAGGTGGCGCCAGAGAAACGGCAGGCAGAGCCAAGTAATTCTAGTTTTGTCCCCATCCTCCCCCTCCTCCTTTTTGCTGAGTTCTGCAAGAAGCACCACTGAAACTTAGGGGGAGGGAGCTGACAGGTGGGGCCAGCCACCTCCCTCCCCCCACTGGATGTAAGTAAGCAGGCAGGCAGGCAGGAGGGAGCTGACTCAAGGCGGATTGAGGCTGGTGGAGCAGGGCTCCACTAACTTGGACTGCTTTCAAAAGATTATCAAACAAATTCATTGGTATCAACGGCTAGTAACCAGGATGGCCGCGCTGTGCTCTGAATAGGAGCGGCTGGGATCTGCAACGGGGGAGAGTTCCCTTTTAGTCAAATCCTGCGTGCTGGTTTCCCCCAGGCACCTGCTTGGCCACTGTGAGAACAGGTAAAAGGTAAAGGGACCCCTGATCCCTTTAGTCGTGACCGACTCGGGTTGCGGCGCTCATCATGCTGGACTAAACGGGGCCTGATGCTTAATTTTGTTCGCATCCCTGTGCGCCTCCAGGGGTGAAGTCAAACCACTGCGTTAGCAGCACTGAAGTGACCACCCCGGGGCTCAAGCCTGGGCAGTTGTGTCTGGAGGTCCTGGGCTGCCCAGATGACAAGAAGACCACCCGCCCCTCGGCCTCACCAAAAAGGACCACCGTATGATGCCAAGGTGCATAGAACCGCGAAACCTCTGCAGGACTCCTCTTAAAGCAAAAGCAAGGCGCCTTCCGAAGTGACGTGAACATAAGATAGGAGAGGAGGAGCAGGGAGAGGCGCTCTCCGGAGTCGCGTGTGCTGCGTTCAGACGAGCAGCAGGCCAGATCCCTTGACCGCGCGAATCACGGGGCAAACACGTGGGCATGTAGACAGTGCTTAGTCATGCCCCCAAGGAAGAGATGGGGGATTGGGGCGAAGCGGCTGGAGAGCTCCGGGAGGCGCTGAGGCGGAGGCCGCGTGTGGCCCCTGACTTGGGCCTCGGGCGGGGGTGGCCCAGCGCGGGGAAGGCGGCCCTGGCTCGGTGCGGGCTCCCTTCCAGCCGCTAGGAGGAGGGCGGAGCCGGAGCTGAGCGCGCGGGCGGCGAGCGGAGAGCCCGGGGAAGGTGCGCGCCAGGCAGGCAGGCAGGCAAGCAAGCAAGCAGGCGAGGCGGCCGTCTCCATGCCCCGCTGCAGAGACTGGGCGAGTCGGCGCCGCTCCTGCCTCGGGGCCGCGGAGCCCCTCGCCCGCCCCTAACATGCGGCCGGGGCGCCTGCTGGCGGCGCCACGCGTGAACCATGCCAGGCTTGGCAGAAGAAGAGGGGGCGCAGCAGCCGGGGGCGGGGGAGCTCCCCACGCTCACCCCCGCGGGGGACCCCCTCGGGAAGAGGTAAGGCCGGCCAGCCCCCGAAGCCCAGGGCCAGAGAAAGGCGCGCTTTGCGCTGCGCCCTGGGCGCACCGATTTGGAGACCCCGGGGGGCTTCTCCAAACTCCGGGAAAAGCGGGGTGGGGCAGGTGGTCGAGACTCCTGGATCGGGGCCCGCTTCTCGGAGCTTCGGCCCACTTACCCCACCCCCGATGGTGGGCGAGGCTGCGTGGGGGTGGGTGTTTTGGGGGGGGGAGGGAGACAACGGCGGTTTTGCTGCAGGGAACACGTGCTGCTTTGTGTCTTATTAATAGCCAGACGGGGGTTAAAAATAAACGGGGATGGGGGGGGAGCGGGTAGAGGGGACGGTGCGAGCAGGGCTTCATTTGTCCCATCATCGCCATAGGAGACCCTCCCCCCAATTCCTCGCCCCCACCATCACCACCCTCGGCAGCATCGCAGGGATATTTTTTTTTGCCGCGTTGTGATTTGGAGTTGTGTATTGTGCGCGTCCAGAAAGGGGTGACGGTGGCGGGTTTTCGCGGGGGATTCCGAGCTCGGGGATGGAGGGAGGGAGAGAAATCGGTTAGGGCTAGAGGAAGCCTTTATGGATCTGCAAAGAAAGGGGTGTGTGTTTTGCTACCGGCGTTGGGGGAGGGGGTCGTGGCGGGTGGGGTGGGGGGAAACGTCCGCCCGCACGAAGTTCTGCATTGCACCAGAAGCAGGCAACGTCCTTCTCTCCGCTTTGCTGCTCGCTCGCTCTCTCTTTTTTTCCCTGCTGGTGGCAGCGACTCCTGATGGGGATGATGGAGGGATTGTCTCTGAAGAAAGGGGAGTTGTCGGGGGTGGGAGACAAAGCGAGCAGGCAAGGGGACGAGGGAGGGGTGGTGGCTTGGTGGGGTTTTTAATGTGAGGGGCGTCCGATGGCGAGGGGGAGAAAATCTTGCCACCAAGCCTTGCAGGTGGAAGAGAAATAATGAAAAAAGGGGGAGGAAAGGCTGTATTTTTGGAGATGATTGCGCACCATTGGGAGTTGATGATGGTGCAACCTTTCCACCATTTCTCTCCTAAGCCTGCAGAAAAAGCTGGTGTTAGGTGTCTTGTGGCAAGAGGAGAGAGATAAATGGGAACAGTTTCTCCTTTAGCTGATGGGAGAAAATTCAGATTTATCTGGAGGACAAACCTGCCCGCTTCCTTCCTCCAAAGCTCCCCAGATCAATATCCCCACGCACGCACACGTATTTATTGTTTGTTTACTTACAGGAGGGGTTTATACCCCGCCCTTTTGCGAAAAAAAGGCTTTCCGACAGTGGCTTGCAAAAGTCATTCAGAGACAATCCCTGCCCTCAAGCTTTTTAATCTGAAGAGACATGACACACAAGGAAAAAGGAACGGGGAGGGAGGAGGATAAAGCAAGCTTAAACACAAGTGCACAAGTTACATGTTTTAAAACGCAGTTGAGAGCCCTAGCTGGTGCTAGCAGCATTTCTGGGTTTCTTGGCCTTGATAAACAGAGCCCGCCCACTCGGATCCAGGAGCAGAACTGATGACAACATCCAGGCCAGGAAGACAAGGTAGCTCCTGCAGTACAGCCTGATACTTAGTGGCTGCTAGAATCCACACAGAAGCGAGCTTATTGGAGTCACCCACCTCCCTCATCAACAACAGAGGCAACATTTAAAGGACAGGGAGCTGAAATGGGAAGGAGAATGTTTTTGGTGAGACGTCTAATGGATTTGCTCATAGAACATAATAAGAGCCCGTTGTATCAGGCCAATGGCCCATCTGGTCCAGCGTCCTGTTCCTTGCAATGGTCAACCAGGTGTCTCAAGTCTGCAACAGCATCTCTCCCTGCTTACGGTTCTCATAATCTGGCATTCAGAGGCCCCATCTGCACTTCAGGCAATATCACACCGCTTTAAACAGTCCTGGCATCCCCCAAAGAATCCTGGGAAGTGAAGTTTGTTAAGGGTGCTGACAGTTGTTCGGACACCCCTATTCCCCTCACAGAGCTGCAGTTCCCAGAGTTCCCTGGGAAGAAGGATATATTGTGTAACTACCCTTGGAACAGCAGTTGTTAACAGACACCCCTGTTCCTCACAGGACCAAATTCCCAGAGTGAATTAATGGTCAGTTCATCTGCCCAGGGTGCTCTGGGAATTGTGGCTCTGTGAAGAGGAATGGGGGAGTCTCTTAAAGGATTGGCTGCTAAGTCACTCTGGGAATTGTAGCTGTGCACAAGGAACAGCGGTCTCCAAACAGCGCTCGGCACCCTTAGCAAACTGCAGTTCCCAAGATTAAGTCAGGACAATTGAAAGCAACAGGATATTGCTAGCCTTCTAGCCTCCGACTCTTCACCTTACATCTTTCAAGGTCCTTCATGGTCCCACTTCCTGAGCTGCCTCTTTCCTGTCTGCCAATTCCAGTGCCCTTCACCCCACCCCCCCGTATCAGCCTGATCCTGCCAAGCGGTGGCACCAACTATTTTCCCTGCCTGTGCTGAGATGACAGTTCTGAGCCCCAGTAGAATATAAGGCAAAGCCCATTCTGCCACATTGGCCCAGTGGATCCTCCTGTCTGATATGGGGTGGACCGGTGGCCCTTTGGATCTTGTTAGACTCTAATTCCCATCAGCTCCAGCCAGCATGGCCGATGGTCAGGAATGATGGGAGTTGGAGTCCAGCATCATCTGGAGCAGGGTTTCCCAAACGTGGGTCTCCAGCTGTTGTTGGACTACAGCTCCCATCATCCCTAGCTAGCAGGACCAGTGGTCAGGGATGATGGGAGCTGTAGTTCAAAAACAGTGGGAGATCCAAGTTTGGGAAACACTTCCTGCTCTGATCTATTATGACGGTGAAGGCTAGACTTTAGTCCTGCCAGGTAGGAAGGGGGTCTTGATGGCTTCTCTCCTCCAGGAGGCAGTGATGGCCGCCATCTTGGATGGCCACTGTGAGAACAAGATGCTGGACTAGTTAGGCCACTGGACTGATCCAGCAGGCTCTCTTTCTGCTGGTGTCTTGATGGGCGAAGCCAAGGATTGCCAACATTTTGTGTCCAGTGGGCACATTCTGAATTTTGAGAGGTTGCTGGTGGCACCAGTCACAAATCAATAGCTCTGTGGGTGTGGGTGTGGCGTAACACAAAATGGCTGCCACAGGGAGCACAACATAACATGAACTTGGAGAGACGGCCACCTCTGGCAACCTTACGTTTCCTGCGGGATGTCAGCAGCGTCCTGCTGGCCCTGATTGTGAAGATCACACAATATTGATTACACACACACACAGGCCCTGGCGCTGCTTCTGGCTAACAGCAACAGGGAGCAGTCTTCAGCGCCAGGAGAAATATACAAGGCAGCTGCAACGCAATCTCACTTCACATAAATCGCTTAGAAGGTTACCTGCACATTTTGCCACATTTTGTGCTTTCCAGGAGAGCTAGAGATTTTTAAAGAAAGAATGAAGTGAAATGGGAGCTCTGAGCCTTTGGTGGTGCTGGGTTGGCGATTCCTGGGCTAAGCCCCCCACAGCTTTCAGGGGCGCCTGTATTTCAGTGCTGCAAGATCCTTGTATCCTAGATCCCATGAGCACCTAGAAATTTGGCATTTCAAGTATCTAAAACATTTTTTCAAAAATCTTGACTCGGGTCAGCGTCCAAATATTGTTGGGGAGAAAGAATCTTAACCATATCTTTATATAATTATGATTAAATAACATAGTCAAATCAGTAATTTAAAAAATACCCTTCAGGCATACTGTGCACTTAAGCAACTAGAAGCAGATATACTTCCCATGATGCCCCGTCCATTTCCCATAATTCCTTGTGCCCCCCTACTGGCCAGGAGTAGTAGTGCAGGCCAGTGCCATGTTGTGTGTTCCAATCTGGATGGAAATTCTATTAATATCGACATGAGAAATTAAACAAGGGGGCTCTCAGCTTGTTTTCTTCAACATCTGTGGGGTAGTGCGGCCCTTTCCAGAGCTAGCTGCCCGTGCAGTTTGTGGGCCTGATTATTGATTCCCCCCCCAGTCTGGTTTTAGTGTTTTCATTCCTGTTTATACACTTGGCAGAACTGAGTGTGGGCTGAACCACATCGGGCTTTTGCTTGCAGCTGGTGGGAGGAGTTTTGCATGTTTAAATGGTAATTCCACTAAAATAAAGCACATGTCACTGCATATAGAAATCTAGCAAGCCAAGGAGAAAACTTAAGCGGAACGCTTTTCCCTGACGCTCTGGCTTTTTCCATGCAGGGAGTTTGCTGCGTACTTTTCTTTAAAACAAAAACCAGTATAGAAATTATGACGGTGATAATGATAAAACTCATTGGGGGAAAAGGTGCCTAGGCATTCTGTTGTGGAGTCCAAACCAAGGTTTAAGGTGCCCTTTGGCTTATAGATCTGAGTTTCTAACACTTCTCTGAGGAACTGGATTCTGGACTCCATAAGCTTTTTAGTTCAACCAAGCCGCAGTCCTCTTACGCTCTCATCACGTGTTTTCCTTCCTCTTCTCTACTTCCTGCTCTCTGAGTGCAGGACTGCAAATGTACAAGCTCCTTCCCAATGCCTCTCCCTGCCCCCCCCCCCCAGGGACCACCCTAATAGCCATTTGCTCTTGGCACATTTCCCAGAAGCCTTTGCCAAAACCTTTGCATCCTGGGATGGGAAACCAGGGTGGGAGGATGTGGGCAGCGCTGGTCCGAGGCAGAACGACTATTAGCACATAAACCCAGAGCATCGCTTCCCACAACAGAGGGCGCAGTTCGCGAGGGAGATGGGCCGACCGTAAATCTCGTTGAAAAGTTTTAAGCCAGGTGATCCACGTGCCAGGAGCCTGGTTCGATCTGTGTCAGGAGGACAGTGACCACACACAAAATGAAAACACACCCCTGCTCGCCTAACCTGGAACCAGTGTAGTTGTAATAAAACCCAGGGGTGAGGGGTGGGGACAAAGACTGGACAGCAGTACAGTTTCTGTAGGTCCAGAAGTTTGTTGGGGTCTGAATGGAGCCTCCATGCTCAGGAGCAGTCTACCCCCAATGCTAAAGGGTTTCCAATGGAAGGAAGACATGCTGGTTTCCTAGAAACACCAACCTATTCTCCACGAGAAGCAGGGTACTGGGTTAGACCCTTTGGGTCTGATGTAGCAACAGCGTTCTTCTTAATGTCCCTAAAAAGACTGCTCCCCTCCAGTGTTGGCTAAACAGCCTAAATCCAAGTAATGTGCTGTGTTCCTTGATGTGTCTAGTAGTTCTGATAATGGCAACAGCAAGATGTGGCCAGGCCTGTCATTCATCATAGCTGCCAGGATTCAGGAAAGCAGGAGAAACTTGTTTCTCTTAACGATCAGATGGTCAGAATCCTGCCAATATGCTTTCTTCCATATACCGGTACTTTCCAGGCTGGTCTATTAGGGCAACTGGGGCACTGCCCCATTAAGCTCTGCCTGCCTTCTTACTTCCAGCCAGTCTAGAGGAATGACTTTGCCCGTCCTCCTCCTCCTTAGTCTCAGTGTTGCCCCTTGGAGAACTCAGCAGGGAGGAGGAGGATGTGGAAGAAGCTGGAATTCATTGGCTCTGCCTGTCACTGGCTCTCTGGCTCCCCCTACTGTTGGGCTCCCTGCCTTCCACCCTACCAATCCCAGTGGGCACCAGCAGGAGGACTAGTGACTTGCGTTGTATATGCTGCTTTTAACAGAACCTGGGCATTCAGGGACAGGGTCTGGAATATCTAGCTGTCAGGGAGCCAGCCAGCAATAAATCACACAAGGGTACGCGAATTTAACTCTTTATTAGCAGAAACAAGGCCTGCTCAGGGCAGCTGAGCTTACTGAGCACAGCAACTCTTCTTGGTAGGCCTTTCCCCTATGAGGGAGTTGCAGAGGCTGAGGATCCCTGCCTTCCCACAGCTGCCTAAATCTCCTCTCCGTCCTTCCCAAGCCATCTGATACTCCGCCTACTTGCCTGTCTTTGCTCCTTTCTCTTCATACCTCTTCTGGTCCTAGGAGTTGCTCCCATGGATCAGTTGCGGAGAGGTCCCTGCATCCCCACAGCCAGCTATGTCTTCTCCACTCTCCAGGGTTTCCCCCCAAGCAATCAGAAACTGCGCCTTTGTGCCTGTCTTTCCTCTTCCGGGGGGGGACGGGGGACAGGGGGGGGAGCTTGTTGCAGCAGGAGTGGGAGACACCCGTGACTCTTCACAAGCCTCACCCATCTGCTTCTTGGCCTCCCTTCTCCAGCTTCTGACTCTGGACTGCCACAGTCTCTCCCCACTCATTAAACCCTGCTGCCTCTTCACCATCTGACACCTCTTCCCCACAGTCTTCTCCCTCTGACCCACAACTATTCCCTGAGCTCTGAGCCTTCTCCCCTTAGTGGTTCCCCAGCTGGTGGTTGTTGTTGTTTATTGAATCTATATACCGGCCTATACCCGGGGGTCTCAGGGCGGTTCACAGAATAAAATCAAGATATAAAACCACAAAATCCCTAACAGAAATAAAAACAACAACCCAATAGCCCTCCCCCCAAAAAACACTTTAAAAGGGCATAGGATGTTAATCGGATCAACCAAAGGCCTGATTAAAAAGGAACATTTTTGCCTGGCGCCTAAAGGTATAATGAAGGCGAACTTCTCTGGGGAGAGCATTCCACAGACAGGGAGCCACTGCAGAGAAGGCCCCTTCTCGTGTTGCCACCCTCTGGACCTCTCAAGGAGGGGGCACACGAAGGAGGGCCTCGGAAGGTGATCTTGGGGTCCAAGTAGGTTCATATGGAAAGAGGCAGTCCTTGAGGTATTGGGGTTCCTCCACCATTCCTCTACGGCCGGCCAGCCCGCGACACTAACCTACCATTTTGTTTCTCTCTCTCTCTCTCTCTCTCTCTCTCTCTCTCTCTCTCTGAGCAGCAGCGCCCCCTCAAGCAATCTCTGAGCAGCTCCCTCTGCCGTGAGTCCCACTGGAAATGCCTGGTGCTGACGCTGCTGATGTACGGCTGCTTTGGCGTCATGGCCTGGTGCCGCCTCTCGACAGTGACGCGCCTGAACTACGTCGACTCCTACCGCGACGCCTCCCTGGTCTACCACGACAGCCCGTGCTCCAACGGCTACATCTACATCCCCCTGGCCTTCCTGGGGATGCTGTACGTGGTCTACCTGGTGGAGTGCTGGCACCGCTTCGCCAAGGGCCAGATGCAGTACCGCGTGGACACGGCCAGCGTCTACGAGAAGGTGCAGCGCATGCAGCAGGCCACGCCCTGCATCTGGTGGAAGGCCATCAGCTACCACTACATCCGCCGCACGCGGCAGGTCACCCGCTACCGCAACGGCGACGCCTACACCACCACGCAGGTCTACCACGAGCGCGTCAACACCCACGTGGCTGAGACCGAGTTCGACTACGCCGGCCACGGCGTCAAGGACGTCTCCAAGGAGCTGCTGGGCCTCTCAGATTACCCGGTCACCAAGCTGCGCTTCACCAAGTGCTTCAGTTTCGCCACGGGGGAGGCTGAGGCGGCCTACCTCACCCAGCGGGCCCGCTTCTTCGGCGAGAACGAAGGCCTGGACGACTACATGGAGGCCCGCGAGGGCATGCACCTCAAGAACGTGGACTTCAAGGAGCACATGATGGTTTTCCCCGACCCCGGGCGTCCGCCCTGGTACACGCGCCGGTGGGTCTTCTGGCTGGCCTCCTTCCTCCTCCTCTCCTGGCCCTTGCGGGTGCTGGCGGAGTACCGCACCGCCAACGTCCACTACCACGTGGAGAAACTCTTTGGGGCGGACGACGGGCCCAGCCCGCTGGACGCGGTGGGCGGCTACGTCCGGCGCATCTCCCGCGTCAACACGGTGGACATGACCGAGCTGGAGTGGCACATCCGCTCCAACCAGCAGCTGGTGCCCAGCTATTCGGAGGCCGTTCTCATGGACTCCACCGTGGTGGCCGGGGCGGCCTACCTGCGCAGCTGCCAGCGCTGCCGCCGGACTGTCAGCAGCAACTCCTTGCCCTCGCGCGGCACCCGGGCCCTGTACGCCCGGCTGCCCTTCAGCTGCAGCCGCTTCTCGCTGAGCGGAGCCCGGCGCTGCGGGGGGATCCTGCGCAGCCTGAGCGGCAGCCATGTGGGCAGCAGCATCGAGACGGAGCCCCTCGAGAGCCCCCCTGCTACCAGGACGCGCTCTACTTCCCCGTGCTGATCGTGCACGGCGGGGAGGGCTGCCACCGCAACGGGCAGAGGCCGGGCCCCGCGGGGAGGGCCTCGGGGACTCCGCTGTGACCCCAGAGAGAGAGGAGCCCCACCGGGTGGGAAGATGAAATGGAAAAGCAACCCAAAAGCCTCCGCCCTGGCTTGTTCCCTTATTACCTGAGTGCCCCTGCAAAAAAAAATCAAAAACAAAAAACGGGCTGTAGGTTGATTTGGCCCTCCCTTTCCAACCCCCTCTAAGTTATGTGGGGAATGGGGAAACGAAGGACCCTTTTTGTGTGTGAGTGTGTGTGTGTGTGAGTGTGAGTGTGTGTGCACGCGCACGTGTGTGCAAACGGAGCCAGTTGTGCAAAGGCTGGCTTGTTTTGCACAACCCATTGCTTCAAAACAAAATGCCCTTCTTCTTTTTCTTAGAACGTGGTTGTTCAACAAGTTTTCTGAGAATGGAAGGAAGTGGGGGACGGGACACAGAGGAAGGGGTGTCTGGCTTCGAAGCAGGCCGTTTCTGGGGCTGAGGGAGAGAGGAGAGACCAAGAGCAACATGGGGTATGTGAACCTCTGTGTTTGGGCTGCTTTAGAAGCCTTGACATCACTTCTCCCCTTAAGTTTTGTTGTTTTACTCTGCACCACTGAGCCCCTCCATGATCATGAGGGCTAAGCATCACACTCAGGGTGTCAGGAGGCCTGCAGCTCTTTCTGGCATTGTAGTTACAGGAGACTGACTGCTCCTGGCCTTTAGATGCATTTAAAGGGGGGGGGGTTGAGGATTCCCTTCTGAAGCCTGACTGGGAGTTGGGTGGCCCCATTTTTCACCGACTGAGGATCTGTGCCTTTGAACAGCTTTGTAACAGGGAGAGATCAAAGGGCCAGGCGCCTTGACCCACCCCAGTTTTTTTTGCCTGCCGTTTAAAACGACAACACCACACATGCACACCTTTCTTTGTGGGCTCAGCCCCTTGGCTACCTAAATGTAGCCTCTGGGTTCAGGGACAGTGCAGGCAACTCCCTGTTTATGTGCAATCAAGGCACCCGAGCTTCGCCACAAACCCAGAAGTGGCCAAAACGTCCTTTAAAGAGCGTGATAGTTGCAAAAATAGCGCCCAGCAATCTCAGGAGCCTTTGACCTCTGAGGCCTGTGGAAAGTTGGGAGTTTGAGTGAGGTGGTTTGGAGGGAGCAATTGTGGTGAAGTTTGGTGCATTATTTTTTAAAGGGTTTTTCCAGAAGTTCAGAAGATGTTTACAGGCTTTTTCAACAGCATTCCCAAAACACGCAATTTCAGTGAAAGGCCTCAGGATGTAACCGCCGCGTAAAAATGGGGAGTTGTCTGTATGCCTTTGAGCGCCAGGTGCTGGGGACAGGTAAATGGGGAGAGCTCTTGCCTTCCTGCCTCGCTGGTCAGCTGTCAGAAACGGGATACTAGACTAGACGGACTTTGAGTCTCATCCAGGGGGACGATACTTTGCTTCCAAAGTAAGTTGTCGGGGCAGGCGAATGCTCTCGCTTTTGGCTATCCATCCATCAAAAGCTTTGTGCAGAATCGACGGACCAAATGTTATTGCGGGGGGGGGGGACACCCTCCACCGCAAAAAAAAAAAAAAAGAGTAACTGAACGGCTTCAGGAATCCTGGGACCAGACAGGGCCGGTCCTCCCATTAGGTAGAATGAGGTGCCGGGTGTTGGGGGCGCTGGGGGTGGAGCCCTACTCAGCTGTCCCTCCTGATTGGCTGTCCAGCAGTGACGCTTCCTTGGTTGCTTGTGTGACTGGCTGTGTTGCCTGTTCTCTGCTCAGCCTGACAGGAAAACATTGCTGGCTCAACAAGGAAAAGCAGAAAAGCAACCAGCCCCAGCCGCACACTCCAGGAAGCGTTTTGTAAGCGCATGTGTGCCTTGGCTCCTGGAATTGCTGCTCTTTGCAGTGTCTGAGCTGGCAGGGCAGTGAGTGAGCGGTGGGAGGAGGCTGGAGCTTGAGTGTGGCCCCCTAAACTAGCCTGTGGCCCTCAGGTGCCTCTGCAGCTAGCAGGGAAGCTATCGCCTACGGAGTTGGCTTGCATACGTGGAAAGCAAGATTCCTAGGGACGTAGCCATCATTCGGTAGTTCGGGGCTGCTGAGGATGCTGGAAGGTGGAAAAGGATGTTGGACCTAGGCTATGAAGCAAGACAGGACTTGGCTGACCTGTCCTGGCTTGCAGTGGAGGGCCCAGGCGCACATTCTCCATACAGTCATTCATGCCTGTCTCCTGTGGTTGTGGGCCCTTTCCCACCGTTGTGGCCAGCTATGTTCTCCTCAGGAGCAGACACACTGATTTTTCAATGCTAAATTAGTCACACCCAATCGTTTTAACGGATCTGCCTTGAACGCTGGGAACACCACCACACAGTGGCCCTTGAACTTCCACCAAAGTATCTCAGGAGCCGTTGTTTGTCAAGGGGGCAGAGAGTTGTTAGGAGACCCCCTTGGTGCTACAGTTCCCTGCACCCTAAGTAAACTACAGTTCCCAGAATTCTTTGGGGGCAGGGAGACACGGCTTAAGGTGGCGGGAGGGTGTTTTTGCGTATCTGGTGTGGGTGCGCCCTTGGGACAGCCACAGATTTAGGCTGGCTTAACAATTGGTTCTCCCTTTTCTGAGCAAACGACGGGAGCACCATTTTAATTTTTCTTTTAATGAGGCTTGGGCTAATTCTGAGCACTCCTGGAATGCCGCGATCCTCCGGGGAGGGTGGGAGCCTCAGCAAAGCCAATAACAAGCTTGTAGTGTAGATACACCCTGGAGTAGCTCAGTAGGTTGAACATGAGACTCTTAATCTTAGCTTCATGGGTTTGAGCCCCAGTTGGGAAAAAGATCCCTGCCCTGTGGGGGTGGGTTGGAATAGGTGACCCTTGTGGTCCCTTCAGACTCTACGATTCCATAAAAAAGTTTAGGAAGAAACACATTTGCTTTCTTCCTGCCTCTTCCAGTATTCTGGATCCCAACCATTGTTCCATGTTCCTGAGATAGGACTTTTCTGGACTGTAGTGGTTCTGCCTCTCCCAAAATCTTAAGGAGGCAGGGCTTCTTCCAGCCTTCAAATGGCCTCCTGCCAGGGACTTTTTAGTTGTGGCTCCTGCATTGCTGCAGGTTATGTCAAGGGGTGGGACACACACCCTTTTCCCAGGCTTCCTGATGCTCCTTAGACTCTACCATGCGCAGGCTACAATGCTCTCACCTTGTGAGGAAAGCATGTGTGTGCGCGAAGGGATCGGCGTGTGTGAGTGTCCGGGGGGAGATGTTGCCATTCCCGACCCCACCATCCCATTATTATGACTGGGGGGGGGGTGTCTCCACATTTGACAGGCCCGAGGAGTCCCAGGTGGGGGCCTCCATCACCATGCTGTTGTAACTTCAGTGTGAGTTTGCATTGAGACCACTGGTTTCTTCCTGTTTTCCTGGGGGACGGGGTGGGGGGGTGGCGAGGTATAGAAGCTCCCCCCCCCATTCTCCCTCCCTCCTGCTCTCTCTCCTCCCGTCTCCATGCAACACAGGCGCAATTCAAGAGAAGAGACTCTTTCTATTGTGCAACATGAATATGGACGTGGAACTGTTAACCTAAATCGGAGGGGGTGGGGGTGGGGCGACGTTGGGACTTGTTGATGTTGGAGTGAAATAAAAATTACTTCGAGTCCCTCGCTCATAGGACAATAAAGATCTTTCGAGGTAGGCAGGCTCTCGTGTCCTTGTGGGGGTCTTCTGGATGGGGGGAGCGGGAGGGGAAACATTGGAAAGGAAGATTGGGGTTCAGGGACTCTCAACTCCCATCAGCCCCCAGCCAGCATGCCCAGTGGCAAGGGATGATGGGAGTTGTAGTCCAACAGCCTCTGAAGGTTCTGAGCCTCCTATACGCAGGGTTAAACCACAGAGCCTAGGACTTGCCGATCAGAAGGTCAGCGGTTCGAATCCCTGCGACGGGGTGAGCTCCCGTTGCTCGGTCTCTGCTCCTGCCAACCTATCAGTTCGAAAGCACGTCAAAGTGCAAGTAGATAAATAGGTACCGCTCCGGCGGGAGGGTAAACGCCGTTTCCGTGCGCTGCTCTGGTTCGCCAGAAGTGGCTTAGTCCTGCTGGCCACATGCCTTGGCCAGAAGTCTTTACTGGCCAGTAAAGGTCCTGCCTTGGCCAGTAAAGAGAGATGAGCACCGCAACCCCAGAGTCGGTCATGACTGGACCTAATGATCAGAGGTCCCTTTACCTTTTACTGACCTGTGACCTCTCAAATATACCTGCCAGTTGGGGCTGAGCCAACAGAGTGATTGACAGGCACTCGAACCTATGAAGGGTGACTTAACCCTGGGGTGGCTTCTTCCAGCTTTCTGCAGCCTGGTGCCCTCTCTGGGTGTTTTAGACTGTAGCCAAGGGCCAGGCACAGAAGCTGGGAGGGCCACATTCTGCCCCTTTCCCAACCTTGGTCTGTAGTGACCACCAGCAGGCTCTCTGGCATTTCTCAGCCCTAGGGATGGTGGGGATCAAATGGGGGTTCTTAGCCATGCAAACCACAGCTCTTTCCCTTTTGAGTTAGCCTCTTAGCCAGGGGTCGGCAAGGCTTACTAGGCATGGGCCGGATCACTAATGCAGAGCACAGCATGACACCAAAAATTGCGTCTGCGCATGCCCAGACGCCAAAAATTGCTCCTCCACAGAAGCGATTTTCAGAGCCGCGGAAGAGAGTTCCCCCATCCCACTGCGCTGTACCGGTTTAGCGCAGCACGTAGAGACTCGTTGAGTGGTGAGCTCGGTTCGGGGGTGACTCATGGACCGGTTACTGGGGTCAGCAAACTTTTTCAGCAGGGGGCCAGTCTACTGTCCCTCAGACCTTGTGGAGGGCCGGACTATATTTTGGAAAAAAACATCAATTCCTTTGTTGTTGTTGTTCTTGTCGTCGTTTAGTCATGTCCGACTCTTCGTGACCCCATGGACTAGAGCACGCCAGGCACTCCTGTCTTCCACTGCCTCCCGCAGTTTGGTCAAACTCATGTTAGCAGCTTTGAGAACACTGTCCAACCATCTCGCCCAACCAATTCCTATGCCCCACAAATAACCCGGAGATGCATTTTAAATAAAAGGACACCTTCTACTCATGTAAAAACACGCTGATTCCCGGACCAGGCCGGATTTAGAAGGCGATTGGGCCGGATCCGGCCCCCGGGCCTTAGTTTGCCTACCCATGGGTTAAGCAATCCTCATGGGCTGCTTCCGGCCCATGGGCCTTAGGTTGCCGACCTCTGCTCTGAGCCCGTCACAGAACAGTCCTGCTGACCATCTCCCCAGGGGTCTCGGACACTGCATAAATTATTTCAGCAAGGTATGTACAATCTGTAATAGTAAAAAAAAGTAATGTAGAGCTGAGTGTTAAAGGAATAGAATGAAACTGGCATTTTCCCACTTAAAACTGGGCAAGATGCCATAATTTGTACCCAGTGTTTTTGACTTTATGACGGGGGGGGTTGCCAAATTTTTGAAATTTGGCAGTGAAAGAACCGTTTAAAAAACACCAACCAACTTTTTGGGTCTCTGGTTTAATTTTAAAGCAGTAAAAAATACAAACTTGCTAAATAGATTGGTTTGAATATTAGCCTCCCAAATCTGCTATGTATAAAACCTGAGTGCAGCCTATCATTGCCCTCATAAGGTAGAAGAGCTGCGATCTCAGGCGGGGGGGAGGCTACTTTCAAACCTCTACAGTATATAGTCCAATACAATATATGTTTCCTTGGTGCTTACTCCCAGGTAAGAAGGGCAGCTTAGTTCCACCCCCGCCATCCATCAGTGGAAAACCTAAAGGGAAACAATTAGATTGGGGTGGTGAGCCTGTGGCCCTCCAGAAGCTGCTGGACTACAATTCCCATCATCCATTTCCCATGCTGGCTGGGGCTGATGGGAGTTGGAGTCCAGCACCATCTGAAGAACCATGGATGCCCCATCCTCTTAAGATATGGGATCCCTGATTGGTTAGGACATGTGCCAATGACAGGAGTGGGGAACCCGTGGCCTTCCACATGTTGTTGGACTCCAACTCCCATCGTCCCTCACTATTTTAGTGCTGGCTGGGGCTGATGGGAGTTGAAGTCCAACCGCCTCTGGAGTGTACCCAGTTGGCTACCCCTGCTGTAGCCCATCATCTGTTGGGCCCTCCTGACGTTGCTGGACTCAACTCCCATCAACCCCAGCCAGCATGGCAAATGGGGATGATGGGCCCTGTAGTCCAGGGACACCCGGAGAGCCACAGGTCTTCCCATCGCCACTCTCCTCCCTCTCATTTATTTGCCTGTGTGTTTTATTTTTCATGACCAATTAAGCCCAGGCAGAGCAAGGCCAAGGTTTTGAGGCCCTGCAGCCAAGTTGTCTGTATCTCTTTCCCGCTTCTGCCCTGGCAACCGCAGCAGCTGAGGAGAGATGCCCGCCTTGGTAGCGAGCAGATGGGAGTCAATTGCTCGGAAGTAAGTCGCTTCTCCCCGGGTGGTGGCTGCAAGGAAGCCTGTGGTGCTGTCCGATCCCTGCATCCTTGCACGCCTCAGAGCATCCTCTCATCCTCCCGGCGTTGCCATGGAGATGATGGCAGAGTGGCAGGGAGGCTCAGGCAGGCGGGAGAGACGGGAACAGATCTCCCCTTGCTCTCTTCCTCCCCCTCCTGCGGCTGCCCAGTCTTGGCCTGTAAAATCTCAACCTGCTGCTTTTTTCGCATAGCCAAGAACGTCAGAAGAGCCCAGCTACATCGAGCCCACCATCTTGCTTTCACAGTGGCCAACCAGATGGCGACCCCGGAATCACCCCCCAGCAGGACTGGAGTGCAACAGCTACTCTCGCCACTTGTGATTCCCAGTAACCGTCATTCTGAGGAACTTTCGCTGCCTCCCAACACGGGGAGGAGAACATAGCCGTTGTGGCTAGCAGCCCTTGAGGTTCTTACCCTCCGTCATTTTGCCCAATCCTCTTTTAAAAGTCGGCGGCCGTCACTGAACAACTGAACCTTTCAAAACCAATCATTTCCCACACTATCGATCTGCAGGTTCTTCTCTCTTCCTCTACCCCATCCCTGCTCCCCAGCTTTACCGAAAGGCTTTTCCGTCTTTCATTTGATTCCAGGAAGATGGTGCTACAGGGGCAGTCTTGTTAGGGTGTGGATAATTGGGCCTGACTGCCTGCCCAGATGGCCCCAGATCTCCTGCCCTTCCCCACCTTAAAAAATAAAAATAAAAATGGCCCCCACCCACAGTTTAAAGGGCATCTGGTCTCACAAAGACCCCAGCACTCCCAATTTATTTTGTCCAGAAGCGTAAGTTTGCACACACTCTTCTTTTATTATTACAGTGGTACCTCGGGTTACAGACGCTTCAGGTTATAGACTCCGCCAACCCAGAAATATTACCTCAGGTTAAGAACTTTGCTTCAGGATGAGAAAAGAAATCGTGCTCCGGCAGCGCGGCAGCAGCAGGAGGCCCCACTAGCTAAAGTGATGCTTCAGGTTAAGAACAGTTTCAGGTTAAGTACGGACCTCCAGAATGAATTAAGTTCTTAACCCAAGGTACCACTGTACATTTATCTCCTGCCTTTCTTCACAAGGAGTTCAAGGGGGCAGACGTGTTTCTTCCCCACTCTCCATTTTACCTGCACAACAGCCCTGTGAGGTACGTTAGGCTGAGAGGCAGCGTTCCCTCCCTACCAAACTCACCCAGTGTGATTAGTTTGTGGCCAAGTGGGGATTTGGACCCTGGTCTCTGAGGTCCTACTCCGGTAACCCTAAGTGCTGCACCCCTGCTGGTAAATTTGTGGTGTGCCCTGAGGCTTCTTAGGAATGGAGCAAAGGGCCCTGCTGTGCTGGCTTGGAAAGGCTGGCTCTAGATTTGGGAGCAATTAAAAAAACAAACAAACCCTATAGATTGAAACCTTCCTTTCCCCTATGGGCTTGTCTTGCTGCTGTGATCCCAGGAATCAAGGCTGCTTTGGAGCCAGACATATCTGATAGCTCAGGAGAGGAGACTAAGGGCTTATCCTCACTTATCTTATGCCCTGCTCTTTCCAGGCAGAGGTCCACACTTTAGCACGCCTTGTTAAATCATTTTTGGATTTTTGCCCCAAGCTTTCCCTGCAAAAGCACACTATTTAAAGCAGTGGTGTAGTGTGGGGGTGGGGCATAGGGGCGGTTGTCCTGGGTGCAAAATTGTTAGGGGGCACAAAAATTCCAACACCTGGTGCTGCCTCAATGCAGCCGTGTGCTTTCATAATTGAAAATGGCTTCTCCATGCGAACCAGGAAGTGACCTCTCCAGAAAACTTAAACATTCTTCTTTCCTCTGTCGCTGCGATCTCCTGGGTGATGCAGCCGCCGTTAGGCAGTTGAATGCAAATGTATACTCCGTTCTTTTCCCTCTCTGCCACCCACCACCTCCACGCAGCCCTGAGTGCTGGCATCTTGTAAACAAAAGCTGGTCTTGTTCCCTTATGGGGTACACAAGAGCCCTTATAGAGTCCTTTGTAGGTTCCCCATTGATAGGAGAAAATAACAAGCCAACCAGAGAATATTGAGAAGCAAAGCAGCTAGTAAGCCTGATCTTTATTAACGCTGTTGCAACAGGGTGCTCCCTTCACACGCAGGAAAGGAGGAGGACCCAGAACAAAGGTGTGCCTCCCCTTATATAGACATTTTGAAATTCCCTGCCCTGGAGCTCAAGACCACCCCCAGAAACATCATACATACATCACAGAAGGGGTGTAGCCCAAGACCACCCTCAGAAACATCATACATACATCATAGAAAAGGCGGTCTACAACAGAAATCTGAGTGCTTTCTTTATCCCCTGTCTGCCAGGTTATCTGATAATGCCTTATCTGATTGCTTTTCCTGGTAGTCTGGCCATTCCTTTGAGATGGTAATCACTTAATTCCCTCTCCCTCCTTGCAGAGAAACATTTGGTCAGTTTGGGAGTCAAAATGGCTTCAGGACTGTATTCCTGTGCTGCTCCAGACATGTGGTTTATATATTTATGTACGTGTTTGCTTGGTACATTTATGAACATTTATTATATATCTAAGACCTTAAAATTCTTATAACATAACCCACAGTACACTATTACATTAAAGCTGAATCAGAGCAAAAGTAAATCCAGCTTTTATGCAGATTGCCACTTGCTCCGATTGAGCTTTAAAAGAGCAGGTTTTGTGGGGAAACCAAAATAAAGGGTTTGCTCAGACATGGAGCTTTCAGGCATGGACCATGTCTGGAAAGAGCAGAGGAAAAGGTAAGTGTGAATAAGCCCTGAGAGTGGAACTGGTTGGAATTAATACAACCAGGACCTTTAAACAAAATGCTGCCAAGTGGCGTGCTTCTGTTCAGGGTTCGAGCCATGTCCCTTCCCAGCACGCTCCATGCCATGCCTATTGTATGCACTCAGTCCACACTGAAGCTGTTTCAGGTTCCTTTTAATGGTGGCTGGTGCCCATTGGGGCAGAAGGCAGGGAGCACACCAGTAGGTGGCGCCAGAGCCATTGACAGGCTGAGCCATTCTAAGTCTGGTCCCCATCCTCACTGAGTTCTACAAGGAACAGCACTGGGACTAAGGAAGAATAAGGTTTCAGGCAGCAGCACCCCCTGGACTGGATGCAAGCTAGAATATTTGAGTGGGGGACCTGTGGCCTTCCAGAACTTGCTGGATTACAACTCCCATCCTCCTGGGCCACTTGCAACGCTGACAGGGCAGTGCCTCATTTCCCTAATGGACCAACCTCCACTTGGATCCCCAGGTGCGGTTTTTTGCCTACATATGGAGAATGACTTGGCTCTTAGATGTGACTTAACAGCAGATTTTAGGGAGGACAAGGCTTTCAATGGCTACTAATCACACCTCCACTTTCAGAGGTATCTTGTGCCTCTGAATATCAGCCTAAGCCAGCAGGCTTGCCTTAGCTCATGGATAGGTAAATTAAGGCCCGGGGGTCGGATCCAGCCCAATTGCCTTCTAAATCCGGCCCGCAGACGGTCCGGGAATCAGCATGTTTTTACATGAGTAGAATGTGTCTTTTTATTCAAAATGCATCTCTGGGTTATTTGTGGGGCATAGGAATTTGTTCATTTCCCCCCAAAAAATATAGTCCAGCTCCCCACAAAATCTGAGGGACAGTGGACCAGCCCCCTGCTGAAAAAGTTTGCTGACCCCTGCCTTAGCTCTTCTTATTACACAGGGTTCCAGCCTTTGGAAAGCGTTGCTCAGAGCTGTATCCCTTCATTCCTTCTCATTCCAAACGCTTCTCTTCTCAACCTCATGCCTGCAATAGGGAGCCACTTGAGCATCCCTTTGTTTGTTTTTAAGTGACGCATCGCCTCTGGAATGCAAAGCCACCATCATTTATTAATGCGGCGCTGGCATTTTTAGTGGCGCTCTCCAGATATTAGAATAGAATCGTTTTATTGATACTGTGCCGTAAATATACTCAGCAGTTTACACAGAGAGAGATAAACAAACAACCCTGAAAGACAGGCCTCTGCAGCCCCCGCCCCTCCGGGGAAGACCTCAATCTAAATTTATGTGGCAGAGGATGAAATCGGAGGGATGAGCCAAACTAAACAAGGAATTAATGCAAGGAGATGCAGGTTACCTGTACGGACATCTTGTTTCAACTGAGGGATGGAGGGATGCAAAGGGTTTAGCCGAAAGCTTCATGGACACAGTGGCTGGGCCCCAACCCCTAGGTGCGGCTGCAAGTGCCCTGGCTGCTGGTATGTCTCCCACAAAGTACACCCAGTGACCAAAAAGGTGCGGAAAGCTGCTTTCGATCGTTCCTCAAAAGGTGATTGGCGCTGTCAGTTATTTAACAGACATTCCTTTGGACCAAAATCAGCAAGAGCATCACTGATATAGGTGCATCCATCCTTAACCCCTGCCCCAGACCTCTTTTTAATCTACAAATACCCCCATATATGTTCTCTTACTCTCCTGACTTCTCATTCACTTTTGCTTTAACTCCGAAACCTCCCAAATCTATTTCCTCTCCCCTCACTCCTGGCTCCTCCTCGCCCTCTTCTCTCCAGTCCTGGCTACAGACTCAGCAACACCGTCATCCTGGATGCCTTCATGAGCAGGGAGCCCTGCCCTCCCACTGGTTTAGGACCCAGAGAACTACAAAAGGGCCTGGTGGTGTGAAGTCAAGATCTGGGGAGGCTTATTGTTTCATTCTGGTTAAATTAGATGCTGCCCAAGGCAGGCTTGAGAGAAGAAAGCCTGGAGTCTTCACTGCTGTACTTCTTAAGCCCGGGTCCTGGCGCCCCTTCTCTCGAGGCAAATAAACCTATTTTTTGTAAAGTGGCAACAAGACTCCAGTTTTATCTCCTTCGAAGGACGCCAGCGCTGCAAAGCTGCTCAGGGGAAGGCAAGCGGGATAACAGGGAAGTTAGCCAATAAACTCTCCGTTCCCACAATTCCTGCCACACCCTCAATCTTGCACCTGGTTCCCTTTCCTTAAAACCTCCCCAACCCCATTCCATAAGTAATGGGGTTCGTGATGACTGCATCTCATTCCCATTGGTCGTGCCCTGCGTCTCCCACACACCCCAGCCAGTCATTTCTGTTGAACAGAGAACCCCTCGGCTGGATCAGTCTTCCCAGGTCTCCCCTGCTCTTTGGCTGTTTTCATCGTCACTGGTGGCTGTGGTGGGATCCGTCTGCTCCCCAGGTGCGCTGCTCTCTTCCTCCAAGCACAGCTTGCTGTTTAGGGTCTCGGTTTGGACGTCTCTAGGCTGGGTTGACGGCTCCTTTTGCAGCCTAATAATAATAATAATAATAATAATAATAATAATAATAATAATAATAATTTCTACCCTGCCCACCTGTGTGGGTTGCCCCAGCCACTCTGGGCGGCTCCCAACAGAATATTAAAAATATGATAAAACATTAAAAACTTCCCAATACAGGGCTGCCTTCAGATGTCTTCTAAAAGTCAGATGGTTGTTTATTTCCTTGACATCTGATGGGAGGGCATGCCACTACCGAGAAGGCCCTCTGCCTGGTTCCCTGTAACCTCACTTCTCGCAGTGAGGGAACCGCCAGAAGGCTGATAACAAATGGAGGCAGCAGAAAAATGGGATACTTTTTTTTAAAGCCATGTAGATTTTTTTAAAAGGGGGCAGGGAAGCAACCCCATGGTTACTGAAGAGTACGGTCGATTCATCCCAGCCTGTCTTCTTGAGAGTGCTGCTTAGGTATTCTTATGAAATGGAGATGCCAGAGATTGTAGTGGGAAACTTTGGCATGATAGAGATGTTCTACCACAGCTTGAGTTGCACTCTCTCCAGCTGTTTCTCACCTGTGCTTGGCTGATGCTGCGCGGTCTCTCTGCCGGCGGTTTTTAAACCAGTTCCCCACTTGGGTGGGGGTGAGCCCTGTCGCCTGGGCCAGGTGCCTCTTGCGGGAAGGGTTAGGGTACGGATCCTGGAGGTACCACTCCCGCAGGAGGTTCCGCGTCCTTTCCTGGGGGAAAAGGAGAACAGATGTCAGGCCACAGGACAGGTGCAGAGGAACGAGGAAAGAAAATACTCTTCTGCGGAGGCTGAAAAGCAGAACCAACTGATGCTCCATTGAATGATGTCTTTACTCTCAAATTCCCTTCCCTTCAAGAGGTGTCCTGGTCTCCACCCCTCTATTCTTGTTCATGCCTGCTATTCTTTTTCATATTTTCTTTTTACGATCACTTGTTTTTGTTTTACATTAATTGTCTTTTGCTGGTTTTAATATATGTATGTATGTGGTTCTTTTTTTGCTTATAATATTGTGAGTCACTTTGAACTGCCATAGTAGAAAAGAAAAAACTAATACTGTACATATAATTACTACTACTACTACTACTACTAATAATAATAATAAATATTATTAAATCCCCACCCCTTAATGTGATGGATCCTGCTGTTTGCCAATACTTGCTCAACTTGTTTTATAAGTGGGACAATCAGCCTGCCAGCTGTTCCTTCCTTCCGGACAGTCCACTCCATAACCCCACTCCATTTGACCACAACCCTTCCTCCCCCCCCCCGCCCGTCCATCCAACAGGCAGCTAGCAGTCCGTGACCACAAAGTATGTTGCTTTTGGGGGGTGAGGTGGGGGATTCTAGTGGAGAAGCACACAAACGCGTCTGCTGCCCCTGATTGCTTTGCTTGCCAAACTCACCTCCCCAATCGCCCTTCTCACACACCACACCAAATTGCCCTGTTTGGTAAACTGCTGTGTGAAGTGCCCCCCCTTTTGTTAAGCACCACTTCCGACACATTTGATGGAGTTTGGAGCTGCTTCCATTAAACAGCTCACTTGTCCATTTGCATGGCTGCCTATTGGCAGCCAAGCGAACTGCAGAGCGTGACAACACCTTGCTTTTTATGTATATAGGAAGATATATACAAGTGGGTTTTTTTGCCAGGCTGGAATGTATCTGATCATGCCTCTTGTCTGCCTGGATGTAGGATAGAGAGTGCTGTGTGAGTGCATGTAGAAACTAGCCTATTGAAGAGCAGTAATTTGCATGTGTTGCTCCACCCACTTTTGCATGTGGCCCTTGGAAGGTTGCCTGGAAGGCAGTGTGGCCCTTGTGCTGAAAACGGTTCCTGATCCCTAACGCAGATCTAGATCCCGTTTGTCTCCATGGCAACAGGGCAACCTCTTTAGACATGTAAATGTCGGTACTCAACCGGCCAGCTAAGGACGTTAACTTACAAAGAAACCAGTCTGACCAGTTCAGGGGTCTCTTCTAAGATTCCAAGGCTCCTTGATACAGAAACATAGGCATGGAAGGGACACGAAGATATCATACAGACTGACCCCCCCTCCCCCCAAAACTCTATAGCAATATAAATCAGGTCCTGCTCACCTTGAAGCCATTCACTTTCTGCTCCCCATCTTGGCAGGAATCCCTCGGCAGACCAGGGACCTTCTTCCGGGCAGGTGATCGGTCTGGCGGATGTATCGAGAACCTGTCTCCGGGCCGCAGGGCGCCGAACGGTTCCAGGTGGTAGGTGGCCACAGTGGCCTGGCTGCAGTAGGGCGCCAACCACGCAGCCGAGGGAATCGGGCTGCTGAACAACTCCAAGTCATGGCAATTGGCGTGAGTGCAGCCGAGGCCTTCGGGGTGCCGTAGGGCGAGCGACGGCGGGAGGGACCACAGGAAGCGGGCGAGGCGCTCAAATTCTCCGCTCTCCTGCAGGGCTTCGCAGACGCGAGCCACCTGGCTTGGGGAGAAGAGGGGGACACTTGGTGGGGGCAAGGTCATCTTGGGGGACGGGCTGAGGCTACTGGGAAGCTAGGCGAGGCAGGCCTACGGGGCGAGGGGGAGCGAGATGGCCGAGCTAGGAGTGCGGGGAAAGGTCTACGGGAAACAGTGGCAGAACACTCAGAATGCCTTGGGTGGAGGAGGAAGGGAGGGAAGTATGAAGGAGAAATAATACGAAAAACAACACAAGTATTGTCAGTAGAAGCCCTCAGTGATGTTGTCATAGGAACAGGGGCGAGGAGTTGCCACCCTCTCCCCAAATCAGATTCTCTTCTGGAATAGAAGAGCCTCAGTTGCCGGATCAGGCCAAAGGCCCATCTAGTCCAGCATCCTGTTCTCACAGTGGCCAACAGAGGCCTCACGGAAGCCTGCAAGGTGGACATGAGGGCAGCAGGCCCACTGCTGTTCTCCTCCAACAACAGCCTCTGATTCTGGAAGCAGAAGCCACTGTTGGTTTCCAGCAACTGGTATTCAGAGGCATCTGGACTGTTTTTTTATGTATTTCTATTTATTTTCAGGACCCCACACTCATAATCTGAAGCCCTTCTTTGTGTGGCCCCTCCATGAGAAGTCTGGAGGGCGGCAACACGAGAACAGGCCTTTTTTGTGGTTGCTCCTCATTTGTGGTTGCTCTCCAGGGAGGCCCGCCAGGCACCTTCCTTACATATCTTTAGGCACCAGGCAAAACCTTTCCTCTATAACAAGGCCTTTGGCCTTTAACTACCTGTAGCCTTTTAGGAAATAGGCAGGATGTTTTAAATGTATTTTTATTTCCTCTTGGTTTTAATGTATACCCTCCAACACTTTGAAGCCAACATCCGGAATGCCATCTTCCTGGTTTCCAACTTCCCATTTTTTAATCGCAACTATACCCATTTTGGTTGTCGTAATCTTGAGTGATTTCGCGCCCTGGCTTCCTCCTCCCAAAGATGCACATTTTGGGTGCCTGCGCAAGATTGCAGCCCCCCAAAATAGTGCTTTTGGGGGTGGGGAATGGCCTCCGTTTTCTCGCGATAAAAAACGGGATGTCTCAGTTTATCCCGGACACTTGCAAGGTCTGTTAATATCTCTATGTGGGGTTTATTGTCTGTTAGTTTGGTTGGTTGTAAGTCTCTCTGGGCGGCCTTGGGCATGATAAAATAATAATAATAATAATAGATAACAACAACAATAATAAATGTACACTCTTCCCACCCTCTCAGAGGAACCCAGGGGAGCAAACAGCAAATGATAAAATAACAAAAGCGCCTTTAAAACTTCTTAAAAGCCAGTTCCAATGCAGATGCAGACTGGGATGAATATCTCTTCTTAAAAGGCTCATAGGAAGAGGAAGGTCTTTGCTAGGCTGCAAAAAGACAACAGAGATGGCCAGGCTGTCTAATAGCTAAGGAGAGGGACTTCCAAAGTTGGGGCCACCACACAAAAGACCCAATTCCTACGTTGTGAGGAAGGGACATCCTAGAAAGATAGTCTCTGCGGGAGTCCTTCCCCTGAAGAGTGAACTGACTGATTTGGTATATAAGAGGTGAGATGATCCTGGTCCCAAGTTCTTATAGGGATTTATGCAACCAAAACCAACGCCTTGAACTTAGCCCGGTAGTTAATTGGCTGCTAGACTCTTCTAGCCAGAGGGAATTTCCCCGGGTACAATATCCACTTGATGTATTTAGAAACCCACCCTACTATGCAAACATCGGGGGCATCATTGATGGAGGAGGGGGGTGGGACACCCTTTGCTCCTCTCCCCAGCCAAAATGGCTTTAGATCACATGTAATGATTCTTCAGGAGAGCAACTACATCTCTGTCTCTTAGGAGATCACAGAAAGCACACCCTAGAGCAAACCATCTCAAGATTCCTGCCACCCCTCCTTTCCAACTTTGCAATTCCAAATCACACCCCTCCGAAACTCCCTTGTCACCCCCCACACACCCTGCCACTCAGATTGCCAACTTTCACACAAGCCTCGTTCCGCTGCCCCTTAACCAATGACTTGATCTGCAGGAATAAACAGGCCATCCATCGCCTTTATTTCCTCTCCTCTGGTTGATTTCCACAGATCAAGACGCCATTAACGGTGCAGGAATAGGCTGGGATTTCCGCCCCACCCTCCCAAACAGTTGGCAACTCCACCTTGAACTGAAACCTGAAATCGCACCTATACCAGACCTTTCCCTGTCGATATCCAAGCCCTGCTCATCTTAACCCGCCCCCATTTTTAAAAAAGCTATTCATACACAAATGTTGTTTACCTTTTTTATACACCCCAAATGCCTTCCTTGGTGGGTTTTAGAGCCGGGGAATCGCTGGGGACATCCAGGTGGAGAATCTAGAGGTGCAGGGTCATCCTTAAAGGTCCCAGCGCTCCGCGGGGACCCTCGGCCAGTTGCTGTTTGCGGCAAAAGAATCGCCCTTTCTGCATCTAGAGTTTCTTCTTGAACGCCTTGGGATGAAGCCTTGATGCTTTGGCGCCCTGATTACCGGGAGCTAATCGCCACGCAAGAGGGTTTTAAACAGCTCAGGGAGAGGTTGCCTTGTGAGTTGGTTTGAAGCGCTGACTTATTAATGTGTCAAAGGGGAGGTTGGATTTCAGCCGCTAGGCGATCACAAAAGGTCTCTCTGGCACTAGGCGCTGCGAAGGAAGGGAGAGGCAGATGGGTGGGCGAGATTGGGAGACCTGAGTTCCCCCCCCTGAAGTGAATCTGGGGGGTCTCCTGCTGATTCTATCGGGGTCAGCCCTAGATTCTGACCCCAGTTTCCCCCAGCGCGGTTGATGCCGCAGTTTAATCCGGCGCTTAAATTTTTGGTGTCTATTTTACACACACAGATACACACTTCCTTGGGTGTGTGTGGGAATCACCACTTGAATTGACTTCCACACAAACGGGCCTGGGCCTTAAGGTCAGCTTTGGAGGTCATGATTGTTTCATCAACAGCCCTGATAGTGAGGGGGAGAAATTTGTGTTCACTTCATCTCTAAAGGCCTAGGGCAAAGTTGTGTGCTGAAATGCTTATATTTGTGAAAACAACATACAAAAAGCATTGTATTTCAGGAAATTGCTCAGCGAAAATGTGTATATTTAGGCCAGTGTTTCCCAACCGGTGTTCCGCGGCACACTAGTGTGCCGCGAGGCGTTGCCTGGTGTGCCGTGGGAGGGAGGCGGGGGAGGCGGGCGGCGAGAGGCGGGGCGGCGGCGGCGAGGATCCGCGTCGAGCCGGGGGCGGCTCCGCGGTGGTGGTGCCGAGGTTTCTCTCTCCATTCTCCCCTCACACACACACACACAGGAAATAACACAGGATCAGCTGACAGGACCCGGCCAATGGGGCGGCGGCGGGGCAGCGCGCGCAAAAGGGAGGAGCGCGAGACAGTGGACGAGGAGGAGGCCGGCATGTCCGGGCAGCAGCAGCAACAACAGCAGCAGCAACTCCCGGCGACGGCTCCTCAAGCCCCGGGCAACCCTATTCCCTCACCGGCCTCGGCCGCCCTCCTGCTCCACCCGCCGCCGCCTCCCCCGCCGCCGCCGGCCACCTCGGCCCCGCCACCGCCCCCTCCTCCGCCCGCTATCGCCACCACCACCACAACAGCCGCCGCCGCCTCAGCTGGGCCCATGCCTGCCGGGAGCGGCGGCGGCAGCAGCAGCAGCAGCGCCCCGGCGCCCTTCCCTCCCGGCGTGACGCTGCGCGCTGACGTCACGGGGCTGTAATGGTGGTGTGCCTCAAGATTTTTTTCATCAAACAAGTGTGCCTTTGCCCAAAAAAGGTTGGGAAACACTGATTTAGGCAATGTTTCAGAGGAAAATGTGTCTATTTGGGAGATATTTGTTCTGAAATGCTGGTGAACTTTTTGAGGACTTGAAAAAAGCAACTCAGTTTCAAACTGATGTGGAAGTGCTGAGAACTTAAGACTAGAAAAAATGAGAAACTGAAACCAAAATTGACAGATTTGCCCCTCCCTTGATATTGTTTATGGCATAAATGCACTGAGCCCCTTCATTTCCTACATTTAGGAAGACACCTTAGAACAGGCTTTAAAAATATATAAATAGTGTGTGGCTTATTCTGATGCACCATATGAGCTGCTTTTAGTTTATTCTGATGTTATTATGATTCTCATTCTTGGGGGAAAAAAATTAAATGTTTGCATTAAAAACTTTTTTTTAATGTTTGTTTTTGATTCTGTTCATTCAGTTTCACAGTTTTCCGCTGTTGCCCATGCTCCCGTATGTGTCATGTGACCTGTGTGAGCTCACAGAGGCCCAAAGACACACTGTTTGGGGGCGCCATTATCGCATGGTGCCGAAAAATGTGCATTTTGGAGAGCCAGACAAGATCGTGGCCCTGAAAAAAGTGCTTTTTTCAGTGCGGGAGTGCTTGGGGGGGGGCAAGATCTTGGCATGAAATCGTGCAAGATCACGGTGCCCAAAATGGCCGCCATGCTCTTGTATGAGAAAACAGGATGTCCCATTTCCCCCCCAGGACACCTGCAGTTTATGGGCTTGCTGGGCCTTCGGCCTGATCCCATGTTCTTATGAGTAACAAATAATTGTGACGATTATGATAAAGATGAAGTCGCTGGACTGGTAATTTAGGACGGATTCATTTGCAAGACTCCTTCCACCCAACCCCACAAAGGATCATATCCACATAGCACAGGGATGTTGCCATGCATCAGGGCCTGGCCTATTTTGGGCCTGTAGCAGGGAACCCCCCCCCCATCATTCAGTTTGTACAAACTTCACACACACACACACACACACACACACACACTTACACACTACATACACCACACTTCTGTTATAAATTCATAGAAAAATCAACCATACATCGGATTTGCACTGTTCCATTTTTATTTTACTCCATATGACAAGGACTATCAAAGGGGGGTGGCTTGGTTCTGGTCAGCCATAATCCCTTCAGCATACCAGCACATCCACAGGAGCCCTGCCCAGTTGCTATGCCAACCCTGATGATCCCAGACAGAAGACAATCAAGATCACAAAGAACTTGCATATGGGAGTGGATTCAGCATGGACTGGAACAAAGGACAATGATCAGATCTTCCCTCAGGGGGCAGGAAACTGCGACTACCTTTTGTCGTCAGAAAATGACTCATGGGGAGGGGGAAAGGAGGAACCAGCCAGGTGACAGGACCCTCAGGTTACCACCACAACTCCTCCCTCAACCCCTCCTTTCTGTAATGTATGCATGATGTTTCTGGGGGTGGGCTTGACCTAGAGGAGGGGATTTTCAAAAGTTTTGATAAGGTCTTGCACACCATCTTTCTGGGTCTTTCCTCTCTCTTGCAAGTGAGGGGAACACCCTGTTGCAACAGTTCAATAAAGGCCAAGCCTTTTTTGCTCCAAGTTATCCTGGTTGGTGTCTTTGTTTTGTCCAAGGGAGCCCTCGGATTTTTCCAGTAACAGGCCTGGCCTGAATAGAATAAGACAACCCTCTGTAGCTAGAAAGCAGGAAAATGTGAGGATCTCTCCACCCTCTGGGTGTTTGCTTAGGCATGAAGTGAGGTCATTAAGCAGCAGCAGGATGGAGACAGGCGTCAGGTTTTAAGAGCAGTCGCAGCGGGATCTTCACCCGAAGTCTTTAAAATTTGCATTCGAGATGGGTATATCTGGACCACTTTTGCCCTTTGGCTTTGTGGGAGGGAGTTATCCCTGCCATGTTTATTCATTTATACATCCACTCCATCCTTCCCTTAAAAACAAACAAACAACTAAATTGCTAACATTTGAAAGAGAGAGAAAAAAACACTTGCAAAATGGCCCCGGGGGAATTGGGGAGGGTTTGTCACGTTATGGATGCTAGCCAATCAGTGTCTGCCACAGCCAGTCTCCCACTTGGCCCAAGAGTTCCAGAACTCATTTCTTAAGCGCTCATCCTGAGAGGATAAGAGATAACAATGGAAGGGACTCAACAGCACAGGGGCAAAGCATCTGCTTTGTGTGGGGAAGGTCCCAGGTTCAATCCCCGGCGTCTCTAGGTAGGGCTGGGAAAGACTTTCTGCCAGAAACACCCATCAGTGTGTAGTAGATTGTACTAAACTAGATGGACCAATTCCATATCCCATCCCCATCCTCTCCAACAAAAGGGCTCTCAAGGGGCAGGTGAGGATAAGACCTTCTGTTGGAGCCAGTGTGGTGTAGTGGTTAAGAGCGGTAGTCTCGTAATCTGGTGAACCGGGTTCGATTCCCTGCTCCTCCACATGCAGCTGCTGGGTAACCTTGGGCTAGTCACACTTCTCTGAAGTCTCTCAGCCCCACTCACCCCACAGAGTGTTTGTTGTGGGGGAGGAAGGGAAAGGAGAATGTTAGCTGCTTTGAGACTCCTTCGGGTAGTGATAAAGCGGGATATCAAATCCAAACTACTACTCTTCTTCTTCTTCTTCTTCTTCTTCTTCTTCTTCTGAACTCCTGAGAGAACTGCTGTTGGCCAAGGCAGGTGACGCAGTATCTCATACCCTCCAAGCATCCTGATTTTCTAGGGGCAGACCAAAGGCTTCTGATTTGATACCTAAATGTCCCTATTTTCCCCAACAACACCAGCACCAAGCTGGGGGAGGACAATGAGGAGCTCTGGAAGGTGCAATCGGAGGGCAGGGCCGTCCTGGGTTCAAGAGGAAAGGGAGAACAGAGCAGAGCGCAAGGAGCCTCGATTTTTTAAAAAATTGCTTTGTGCATCCACATCCCATCTTGCATCTTTCTAACATTTATTTATTTTATTTTTGTAAATCTACCAAATAATAAAATGAATTTAGGATTAAGGGGCTTTCTTGGGACGGTGGACGAGGGCATGGGGGCTGTCTCCCATTGGCATAGTGGTGGAGGAGATGCTTGGGGGGGGTGGACAAAAAAATTGGGGGTGAAGGAGGGTCAGTTGTTGGGGAGTGTGAAATGTCTCTATTTTCTTCTGTTGGAGGGTATGGTGTCTTCCTTT